TTTTGTATAGATTTATCTTTAATGGCTGATTTTTCTTATAGATTTATTTGAATGACCGACTTTTTTAAGTAAATCTTTGGTATGACTTCACAGATTTAATTTTTTTTGCAGTTTTTTTAAGGTGTGGTCGACTTATTCTACAGATTTATTGTAATGATACAACAGATTTAATTGCTATGACCGATTTTTTATAAAGACTTTTTGCAATGACAAATTTATAGTATAGGTTTGTTTTCTCTGGCAGATTAGTAAAATTATGTGATAACAGATTTATATAACATGATGTATTTGACGACAGATTTAGCCTGACAAAATTACTTACTAAACTAGCATCGCTGTAGTAACAGATTTGTTTTATGTGATAACAGACTTTATTAATTTGTCTAAAATTCATTTGTTTAATAGCAGTTTTTTAATCCGTAAGAAATGACAGTTTTATATTTTTTCTACATGACAGGTTTTCTCCAGCTTAAATACTCTTACAACAATTGGTTAGTCATGACAGGTTTTATATCACAAATATGTTGAAGTTATGGCAGATTTTAATTATATTAAATACCAATTAAACCCTAAACAATACTTACGTGAAGTCCTTTTATTTTCAAGCCGCCACTAACGTATATTGGTCATACCACTCTTTCGATCACACCCAAACTAAATTTTTTTCTTATTTGAGTTCACAGTGATCTGTTTAATTTCTAGTCTATGGCACAAATAAGATTTATTTGTGGTAAATAGTTTTTTGACCAAAACAGAATGGCTTTTTGACGTTGATCACAAAAGAGGGTGTAAAATCATGACAGCAAATGGTAATACCATATACGATGATTTCATTCAAATGGTGATTGAAGATTACAAAGTCGATAGGAGAGTCCATGATGTGGAATTGAGTTATATGTTTCCAAAGAAAGTGTTGCTCACATTACCGAAGAATACTCCTCCGATAAAGATTGGGAATTGTCGACAACTTCATGGTTATTTGGATCAACTCAAATCGGAGCCAATTCCGCTTTGTGTCGAACTAAAGGAGAGAAAGGCCAAAAGATGTTGATGTTTCCAAATCAAGGTATTGGAGATAAGAAACATGAAGGCAGTCATCAAGATACAAACGACGCAACGAATGACGTAGCTGCAGCATATGTAGACAATCTGTATGAGGATGATGATGAAGGAGACAGGTTTGATTATTGTGATGATTCAGACGGAGCATCATCTGATGATGAAAATTTTAGTTTGTACGGAAGCCTCCAAAAGAAGAGGACGATAACCAGACATTACCACTTAAGAAGAGGAATCCCACGAACGCAACTAATGAATCAATGGGAGTTGTACCACATACTGAGTTAGAACTGGCGTCCATGAATCTAGCCGTCGGACAACAATACGAGACGAAAGAAGCATAAGAGACGAGATTGAAGATACTATCTGTTATACATAAATTTGATTTCAACGTTGACAGATCAAGACCAAAGATCCTAATGGTCAAGTGTTGGGTTGAAGGATGCACTTGGAGAGTCAGAGCTACACCAATAGGAGATTCTCCTATGTTTACGATTCGTGTTTATGTTGCCAACATACATGTTCTGTTACTGAGCGTTCTACTCGTGCCTGAAAAGCAACTCCAGACATTCTTGGAATTTTGTAAAAGGATTTTGTTGGTGGTGTTGATTCGACAGTGTTACCAAAACATGTTGCCCAAACGATGAATATGACATATGGTATCAAGGTTAGTATTAACGTATTATATCTTTTTCACTAACATTTTTTTCAGGAATCTTAGAAATATTTTGGTTCATTTCTTTTTATATTATCAACCTTATTCATCGTCTAAAATTTTGTGAATATATGGATTACTGGAAAGCACATCGGACACTTAAGGAAGCACGGAATTTGGTGCGAGGATCCCCGGAGAGTGGATATGAAAATTTTCCTGCGTATCTACATGCAGTTAGAAGGGATAATCCTGGAACACTCACTCGTCTAGAAGTTGATGAAAGTCATAGATTTAAGTACCTATTCGTCTGGTTCATCGTCATCCCACTTAGGGTATATATCTTCTTGTGATTTTAAAATGAAACTCCTAACACGAAACTGAAGATTAAAATAAAAGAACATGTCAAGCAATCGTTTAAATTATAAGCAAAATATTTAAAACCTTCTCATTAGAGCATTCATATTAGCTCTCCCTGAAAAGGAGGTGATCCAGCGGCTTGTTGTCATTAGCTTTCTTGTCTTCTAAGATGAAGTCTTCAAATTTGAATCGAGCACGAGATCCACCCCAACATAGAAGAGGAACTTCATGACTAATTCTTTCATTTCCATACCGTTCTCCTAAACCCTCAATTGTCTCATATGCCCAAATGAGTAAAACATGAACACATCCATGCATTGTATACGACTTCTTCACTCCATAAGTTATCACTTTGATGGATTCAATCAGACTCCTAAACGCAACTCGTCCCCGCGGATAACTCTCAAAAACGTCTGCGTCAAGTACCCTTTTGGCCTTGTCTAAAGGGATTCTACTAGTAGGAAAATGCCATAGATCCCAATAGACAAAAGCGACAACCATCCTACCATTCTCCTTTTCTCAAAGCTCCAATCCTTGCATCTATCTAACACCACTTGCAACTCCTTCAACGACGGTCCATTCCCCGTCGAAACATTCATTTCCGCCCACAATTCTTTATGATCAACATCCCAGTTCTCTTTATCTTGAAATGGAGCACAATTAAGACCTGTAATCTCTTCAAACTCATGCAAAGAAAACCTAATAGGTTGACTATCAATTAGTGTCCATATCTCATAAGGCTTTTCAATGACCAATTGATGTGTTAGCAAGTAATGGACAACACCAGCACACCATGTGTAGTCTACCTCCTTAAGCTTAGCAATTACTCCAACAGAAGAAGTTTTTAACGTATCCTACACGTCTGCCCCAACTCCTATTTCAACCATTTTTAAATTGGAGAGATAGCAATTGTGGTTCATACTTCTTAACTGACTAGGTGCTTTTCCTTCAGAAAAAAGTAGTGGAGGGTACCTCTTCTTAACACTTGATGAGGCCATAACTAGTAAAAAAAAACGTGATAAGAGAAGTGGGTTAAATCATTGCTAAATGATATAAGTTCATTGAGGGAGAATAAATTAAGAATTCTAATACTAATATTAATGAAGTGATGACGATGTGAAGACTAACCAAAGAGATAATTCTAATTATCCTAATAATATTTAAAATCCTAATACTAACCAAAGGAAAACGACAAAAATGAACTAAGAATTAAAAATTCTTTCAATTAGTTTTTATTTTAAAGTTCAGTGGGAATGAGTTTGAAAAGAAAGTAACAGATCAGAACTTACAGATATTATTTTTTGATATGTGAACCGAACAATCAAACTAAAAGTTCACACAAATGAGAAGAAGATAAGGATAAGGTTCGACCTGAACTCTGCCCTCTGCAATTTGGTGAAGACAACACAAAATTCGGTGAAGACGACAAGAAATGTGGTGAAGACAACACCGAACAATAAACGACAACGCAATTTGAAAGTATAGGCTTAACCAGTGAAGCAGAGAAGAAGAAACCACGATCTGAGGAGAGCAGTCAATGGTGAGGCAATTTCCGGTGCCATTGAAAACGATAGATGTTGTTGAAGGTGGCTGTTGATTTTTTTTTACCCGAGAAGTGTTAGGGTTTTTTACCTTATCTGAATTTGTCTTTATTTAATTAATTAATCATATTTACATAATTCAAATTTTAAATATTCAAATTGGTAAATATAATGGCATAGTTATTATTATTAGGAACTACATAGGGTATTCAGTCCTTTGATTAGAATTATATGCTATTCTAGTATTTTTTTTTTCTTTGGGTGTTAATCTAGTAATAACTAGATGAATTAGTGCTAATCTGAGTAATTTTCTTTTTGGGGTTTGATCTTATTGGCCAACCATATTTTTAACTGTTTAATGTTTATTTTTAAATGTTGCTAGCGCCAAAAATAGATGTAACATTTTCTACATAAACAAAAACCAAACACTTTACATCGATGCCTTTATTTATTCTAAAAAATTGTTGGAGCAAAAAAAATGAATCATCTCATAGTTTTTATGTTGGTTATTGCTATGTATTTTGGATTGAATGAAGCTTCCCTGAAAAATCGTATAGAAATTCATAACCAACTCGCTCTTGGACATCGTCTCCAATATCAGTGTCGTAACAATATTAATCCCTTTGATGATAAAGTCCAATATTTAAATTTCAATGATACCAAAGTCATTGAATTCCATGATCCTTTTTATTCAGACAAAAGGCTACAATGGAATTGTATTCTTAAGCATGGGCCTAATATGATGTATTATTATGACATTCGCGTATATAGAGCAGCCGCTTATCGTCGATTTAATCTGCTACGCTCATGGACTGCCAAAAGTGATGGAATTTACTATAGAGAAAGTTACAAGAAACCGTCAGGACATGTACTTCACTGGATGAAAAAGTAAATGAGCTTTTTGGTTTCCAACAACAAACTAATGTTCATGTATGTTGATTTTTAGTTTTGAATGTTATGAACTAAGCCATAAGAGTTAAAATACCATACTAATATAATAATAATTAAGTTGATATCTATGTATATTTTTCAATGTTCAGACAATTACATAATATCTTTATTTTATTCTATTTTTTCTGAAAAATGTCTACGTCTAATTTTTCTTCACAAAAACTTAAATTCATATGCAAATGCAAACCTTTGACCTTCTTTATCATATCATTTCATTAGTGTATGTTACCAAAAAACCATATCAAATAAGCCCATTTCTTTTTAAAAGAAATCATTTTTTAAAAGAAATAATTTTTTTAAAAAAATCATTTTTCTTCATTTTTCCATCTTTTGACCTCTAAGTATGTTAATTTACATTTTTTGGATATTCACATCTCTTATTTTTCTTTTCTAAATATTTTCATGTATAATTATGTTAACAATTATATATTTAAATTTTTAATATACAGTTTTCTTCCTGCAATTTCGCGGAAATTTGAGGCCTAGTTACAAAATAAACAATAAATATGCTTGCAGTTTTGCATTCTGGTATGGTTCGACATTCGCCAATACGATTTTTTAACTCCATTATTACTCCACCGCCAAAATGAAGCTTATTATCAAGATTCAAGAGGTACAACTGATCTTAGGGCATCTCCAACAATAAACCTCATGGGGGGTTCATAGCCTTTTTTTAATATTATTTGGGTTTTTTTTCATAGTAATGATACTCATCCTAAAATGCAGCTCCAATAATAAACTCGTTGATGGGATCTACGAATAAAATATTAATTAACACAATACCTGGTTTGAAGAAAACAGAGAAACCGAAATCAAAGAGTACTCTTCAAGCAATGCTACATTGCAACAATGTCCAAAAATCCAAAACTAGACCCTGAAAAATGGCAGTACATGAGAGCTTAAACTAAGATGACTTCTAAATTCTGTAACCCCGAGCCATTTCAATTGTGGAAGAAATCAAGAGACGAACCTGAACAACTTCCATGATGGTCTTAGTGACAGAAGCAGCAGCTCTCTCGGTGTAATGACCTCTGGCAACAATCCTATCAAAAAACTCACCTTCTTCACAAAGCTCCATAACGAGATGCACGGCATGCTCATCCTCCTAAGTCTCCTTCAAGGTGACGACATTGGGATGCACAGGCATGTGCCTCATGATCTCAACTCCTCATGATATCCACAGCCGTCCTCAGCTTCTCCTTGTTCCTACACGTTTTCATTTGCTCAAAGATTATGCTACAGAGTAAGTAGAGACTGAATTAAAGCATTCCAAATTCTTCTTCTTTCTACTCTGTACTTGAGGTAAGCACCATAGATTCTCAGAACATGTTTGAGACTTTTGGGAATATCCTCTGCATTAGGATATACGCAGCGTTTTCTTCCTCTCCTTCTTTCTGCAATCTCAGAAGATTTTATTTAACAGAGGATTTTATTTAGAATCTGTAATCAGCACAAACCCAGCTCGAATCATCGGACCCCAATAGCTAACAGATCTGACGAATCAAGCTCATGACGAATCAAACTCATGATCATAGGCTAAAACCCAGAAACGATTTGTCACAAATAAATCTCAGATTAACAAAATCCTAATTCCATCCCATGAATTCGACAAAGCTATAATCCTCAACTAAAACGAAAGATATGCTTACCTTTCTTAATCGGTCGGCGAAAACAATCTTCTTCACCGACGTCAACGATTTTGTTTGAGAGGGGAATGAAATTTAGCCGACCAAATGTTTTCGACTGAAAGAGAAAACCCGAAGAAATTTTTTCTTGGCCAACGACCTCTCATATGCCAACACCTCTCCAGTCATACTCCACTCATACGGGTTCAGCAGGATGACTCTAGTGATACCGTATTACTGAGAATGAGCCATTTTTGCAATTTTAAAATTAAAAAAAATAAGCTTGGGCCCACTTGTGATCCTCTTGTCATCCTGCGTTGGAGATGGCCTTCTACCAAATGTTAGCGTCAAACCCTTCAAAGCTTTAGTAACAGAGTAAAGAGATAATTGCTGAGAATATAAAACACAATACTTTTTTGGGCAGTTGATGATTGCCTCTTTTGGCATTTCTGTACTTCAAATAGAGAATCACAAGAAGCAAATGATGGAGCAACAACTCCTACAAACGTGGGAAAATTTGAAATGGATACATGGTTCCCTAAGCAATAGGAAGACCAAGCCATCGTTATTATCTGAAACAATAAAGCAATTCCAGAAAATAAAACACCATTTAACCAATCAATTTGCATACTTACAGATTAGAATTTTAAGAAACTTAAGGTGTATTCGAGACAGGTAGAAGGGTCAACTGAAGAATGGAGATACAGAGACACGTGGTGCAAGCATGTGATAAGAGAGTGGGCATTGCGATAGTATAAAAAGAGAATTGTAAAAGAGGAGAGAATTATGTTGAATATATGTAACTCAAGTGATATGAGCTTATGAGAATTCTGTTACGCTCAACATGAGAGTGTAGAGAGAGAGTTCTCGATAAAGATACACATTCTTCATTCATATTTCAATACACAGGTATTATACAAGAGTATTAGAGAGTTTACATCTAAGTTCTTATCAAATGGTGCGTCGTGACGAGATCGAGTCAGCAACCAACCTGAATTTGGAGTCAGAGACTTTTAGCAATGACGTTGAGGGCAGAGCATCGGCGATGAAGTTTCTTCACGGCAGATTTACCGGACTGTGCACAGCTAACACTAAAACAGAAGCTCGTATATCGGAAATGGACAGCAAGCTCAAAACAATCTTAGCGGCAATCCAACAACAATCAAGCTTACCTCCCCGATCTGATGGCGGTGTGCGACCAATCGAGATTCTAGAATCATCTCGAATTCTCAATCAGGTACATGATCCTTATCTTGGAATAAACCGGAGTGAATTTCCACTAGGATATCGACCAGGTTATTCTGATTTAGCAAATCGGGAAAGTATGTTGAAGAAAATTAAAATGTTGAGGTTTGACGGCTCTTCTCCCTATGTTTGGATAGCTGATGCAGAGGGTTTCTTTGAGATTGGACGATATGATGACGATGCTAAGCTGGATTTGGTTGCTTTGACATCTTCTTTTTCAACATCTTCAACCGTGATTCTTTCTATTTCTTTCTCCTTTTCCTTACCCTTCTCCTCATCTTCGGGATCTTTCGGAAATTCAGGCTCTTTGTAAGCTAATCCACTCCTAAGTGTGATAGCTTTCACATGATCGGAGGGATCTGCTTCACTTGAGCTTTCGAAAGAATTTTCACTTGGCTCCTCCTCAGATTTATCTAAGTTTTTAGAATTAGTTTTGATCATCATGCTAAGGAGGGTGGAAAATTTTTCATTGAAATCCTCTTGCATCGTTTTTAGTTCAGATCTAAGATCACTAATCTCTTGAGACCTAGATTTTTCAAGCTCTAGAATCTTTTTGTTTAGGTTTTCAGCTTCAGAAGAGGAAAAACTAGGATATGGAACAGGATTAGATTGAATAGCCAAGATTTATTTGGAAGGTGATGTCCAGACAAGTTCGGAAGACAGTTTCCCGCGGTCAGCATCATTACGACCGCGGTGAAAGCATGGTTTGCCGTGGTCCGAATGAATGGATCCGCGGTCCGAATGAATGGATCCGCGGTGATCAGAAACGAATGGAAAATCTTGAATTTGATAGACTTCTGCAGTGTTCATCATCTCTTGATCATAAGAATCCATTGGGTTGTCCCAACCATCAAAGTTACACATATTGTGTGCCTTTTTTGGTTGTTGCAATCCAAGATGACTCATTATGTGATGGAGACACTTTATAACTTCCGAAATCTCTTCTTTATTCTCAGGAAGTGCAGAATTACCAAAGGTTGCTTGATTTCGGATGCTGTTTGCAAAATTTTTGTTGAAAACAAAAGCATCTTCTACAGATCTAGTTGAGAAGTCTCCATTACTTGCTGTATCGAAAGAGTGTCGTAACTCTGGAGTAATACCGCAATAGAAGATACCCAGCAGGTATTCGTCGGTATATCCATGATGTGGACAATCTCTTTGTTATTCCCTAAATCTTTCTCAAGTATCTAAAAGATCTTCATCTTCTTTTTGTTTAAAAGTTCTTCTCTTGTTTCTTAAGAGATTTGAACGATTTCTAGTATAAAAACGATTTAGGAAAGCAGTTCTACACGCTGCCCACGTTTTTAGTGAAGCAGGTGGCAAAGATTTTAGCCATTTGCTGGCATTGTCTCTCAAAGAGAATGGGAAAAGACTACACTTGTGGCAATCCTCATTTGCTGTAATGGTTGCACATAATTCTTCGAACGTCTCTATATGGTCAATAGGGTGTTCAGAATTGTAACCATGGAATTGATTTTTGTTGAACTAAATGGATATATGGTACCACAATTTCCGTTTTGCCATCCTCTGGTAAGGCTGGTTGAATAGCTCTTCGATCTCCCAAGAACTTCTCGAGTGAATCAAAACTTCCAATCAGTTCATCATCATCTTCATGTTTTATCGATCCGATTAGCTCATTGTCATCATAAATTGGTTCTTCAAACTCATCATCAGTCAGGTCATCATCGCTTGGATCACCATCCACACGATATGGTGGATCACCAAGAGTCCCGGGAACATGTTCCCGGTCTCTCATCGCAGAGAAACCTGAAAAAAAATTGAAAAGAAAAAGTAAAAGTAAACAAGTGTTCTAATGGATTTAAGCTGGGATTCGCAACGAAACAAATCAAAGTCCCAGGCAACGGCGCCAAAAACTTGATGCGATTGTAAATGGGGTATTGGTTTGTTCTACTAAGCTTCAGGTTTTAAATTTATAACCCTTAAATGTCTGCAAGTGCACAGATGTGCGCTGTAGTACTTAGGGTATCGATCCACATAGACTTAGTTGTTTCAGTACGAATTCACGGCAATGCTTAAATCAGACTAGAACTAAAGAGGTTTTGGTTTTCGGTTGTCACTAAATCTAAACTAGAAAGCAAAGCAAGTAAAAGCAAGCAAAAATGAAAGCAAACAGAAGCAAGTAGTAAGCTATTAAACAAGAGGCGATTGGAAGCAAGTAATAAGCAAATGAAAAGCAAATAAAATCGAAGGTTGTAAGCAATGAAAGACAAGCGTTGGGCATCAAGGGGAATTCGCAGGGGTTCATGGACTAAGCTATGTCGATTTTAAACAAGTGATAAAGGTAATCAACTACGAATGTTCTAGAACTCAAGGCACAAAAGTATGAATAGCCTACTTTCGCAGCACTAAACAACTATCTCTCGCAACCCTGATCAGTAGGTTTCCACTCTGATCCTAGAAGGGAGAAGATGCAATAGCAGAACAAGACTCATCAACATTCACAACTCAACTATAGGTAGGTTTCCACTCCTATAAAATCATTGCTCGTTTTACCCTAGTTTAAACAATCAATGAAAATTTTCGCAACATATCATATCAGATCGGCTTCTAAGTGGCCAGCAAAAAATCACCCAGTATAATCAAAGGCAAACGAAGAACATCTAGAAGATTATAAATCCTAAATCTATCGATTCATAAGCAAAGACACATGAAATTCCCTTTGAAAAATTCCTTTAAACCCAACTGGGTAACTACTCAAACATATTGTAACAAAGCATCATATAGTATTGAAAGTTACAGAAAATTAAAGAAAAGAGGGAAGAAAAACGAAAAACGGAGAAGCAAACGGAGGCGCGATGACTTCCTCCAGCGGCGGCTCCTCCTTCAAGGGCGGCGGCCTCCATATTATCTCGGCTCAAGGTGTAGCTATAGACCATAGTAAGACGGATGCTATGCATACATGGCCAACTCCAAAGACTGTAAAGCAGCTGAGAGGGTTCCTTGGATTAACTGGCTACTATAGGAGATTTGTAAAAGGGTATGGAACTCTGGCCAAACCTCTTACTGAATTGTTGAAGAAGGATATGTTTATCTGGTTTGAGGCAGCCCAAACCCCGTCTGAGACTCCCTTAGAGAATGTCAATACTTTATTACTAGCCTTAACAGTTCCAGCAGTTCTTTAAATACAGGACTTATATAATGAGATTATAGAAGCCAGATATATACAGTCAATGATTCTGAAGATTCAAGCAAGCGCGCCGGTTAATGGGTTTTACAGTGACTGATGGGAATTTATGGCACAAACGAAGATTGGTCATCCCTTCTGAATCATCGTATATTCCCTTCTTGTTGGCTGAGTATCACGAAGGAGTTATGGGGGGGGGGGGGCATTTGGGCATTATGCAGCAGTCATTTCACTAGAAATCTTTACGAGAGTCAGTTCAAAAGTTTGTAGCGGAATGTCAAACCTATCAAACACATAAGTATTCAACCCGTTCTCCTGCTGGTCTCCTACACCCTTTACCAGTTCCACAAGAAGGTAGGATGATATTAGCATGGACTTCATTGAAAGTCCTGCCCATGTCCTATAGAGTGAACATGATCTTTGTGATCCTCGACCATCTGGGCAAAGATGCTCGCTTTATGGACCCGAAACATCCATTTTTGGTGACTGATGTGGTAGCAAAATTCATCAAAGAAGTCATCCGTCTTCATGGATTTCTAGCATCCATCATTTCAGATCGTGACATAGTCTTTTTAAGTCATTCCTGGAAGGAGAGCTTCAATCAATCAGGCACCAATCTGAAGCACAGTAAAACTTTCCACCGTCAAACAGAAGTATTAAACAGGTATCTTGAGTCATATTTGTGATGTTTAGTATCTTCTCATCCAATAAATTGGGCCAAATACTTATCATGGGCAGAGTTGTGGTATAACACCAACTATCAACAAGCATTGAAGACCACTCCCTTCATGGTGGTTTATGGTCGTGAGCCACCAACT